TTCACTTTGTATTGCTTCAAGTCAATCCAATTCTTCCTCATAACATTTTCTACATAACGATTGATTCTCATTCAGCTTCAACAATGGATCATTTATTATGGATAGATATATTCTGTTGATAAAATTGGCAAGAGCCCAACTAATGCAATAAATTCCAACAGGATGATTCGGTGTAAGACCGAATTTTGTAAAAAACTTCGTTCCATGGGGAAAAGTCTCCAAATGACGAGGATGCGGGCATTGCTCCGTGGTTGGTAACCAATTGTTAATCGATATTCCATTACGCAAATCATAGAAAGGATTATGAATGTCGCCAAAACACGTATGCCAATGTCCACATAATCTGTACAGTCCTCATCGTGCTCCTCGAAATATTTCATCAGTTCCCTTTTTTTAACCCAACTACAAATCGAAAAGTGTTTGCTTTGTCAATGAAAAATTATGTTGTTCAGGAAAGAACTGTGAGAATATGATCATATACTTTAAATCAAATGAAGAATGCCTGAAAATTCTGTATCTAGTAGATTTTAAAGACATCTTGAATAAGAATATCCATTATATGATCTGTCTACATTTGATATTTTTCTTACAAAACAAACAAAAATGAACCAACATGCTTTATATATACCTTTTTGTGCTTTGACTCTATCAACTTTTACAATCGACTGAAATCTTGTATAAAAGAAAAGCTGTTTAAAAAATACCTTTTCAAGATATTTTCAATATGAATATTCCTTTAATGTTGAAATTCACCTATAATATGAAATTGGATATTGATCAATATAATGAAATCATCGTCTGCTTAGTTATCGAGCTGACATTTCTCAGCGAATGATGTATATTAGCATTGACAATAACATCAAATAACAAATATTTTTTTATCAAAATAATCAGTTTTGAAAGCTCTAAAAATCCTGTAAGCATCTTTCAAATTGAAAGTAGTCATTTGTAAAAACTGTAGATCTCCGCATCGGAAGGTCTCAAGGAATATAGGGGACACAACACTGTTTAATAATGTTGTCTCAATATTTAAACCAAATCAAAAGGGTGGAGAATTCTGAACTATCAGAGTTATAGAGCATGTGGCGCTCTGTCGAATACATTATACTGCTATATCGAGCAATTCTGCTTTCTGAAATAATCAGGAGCTCTATTTTTCATGCAGTCAGTGAGTAGTCAACCCATATATGAGACAAAACTTTTCCGAAACTCAATTCAAATTTAGTACGATTCGATGCGCCTTTTCATGAGGAATCTGAATATGGTCTTTGATTTTATTTTTGCCTTCATTTTAGTGGAGAAAGCTATGAAAAACTGTTGGTCAACATTTTGTAGGAAACCCGCTGTTGACATTTTACTGATAATTACTGATAATAGTATTTTGAGTATATCTCTATGAAAACAAAAGCTTTAAAAAAATCTTTTTATCAAAATTCTTCGAATAAAAAGCTCTACAAATCCTGAAAATTTCATTAAAATTGGAGAACGTTTTGGTACAGTGTGTCAGAGAGCCGGTGGAAATACCCTTACAATTCGAATATCTCGGTTGAAGCATGCCATAGATAGCTTATATTTTAAATCGGTTAGTTTGGGAGTGAGAACATTATTTTGACTCGAATATGGTCAATCTTAAGAACTCACAATACAAACAGCTCGATTACCAGAATGCATTTTTGCTGAAATCCTTCTTCATCCTCTTTTTTTTCTTTTTATCTTTGTTATCAAGGTGAAAATTGTAAGCAACTCGATGTCTACCAAAGTATACCATTAGTCCAAGAAAGTTTTTCAAACGAAATAGTCCATTACATCACAACAATCAAAAAAAATTACAATTGTTGTGAACGATGTTAAGAACTGAAATAATTAGATTATTCTGAATCTTCTATCATAAAACGTTCTGTAATTATCGGTCATATACACTGTAAAAAAAATCCATAGAATAATAAACACAAAAAGGGTTGATGAAAGTGTAACGTATAATAAACCCTTTTTACCGTATGTAAAATTTTCCTAAACCCTTTTTAAGGGTGTAATAAAGGGTTTAGGAAAATCATAAATCCTTTGATATACCCTTAGTAAGGGTATATGAGGGAATTTAGGAAATCAATAAACCCTTGCATAAACCCTCAAAAATGATTTATGATGGTCACTAAGTACCAATGGGATTGAGCAAAGGGTTTAGTAAACGCTCATTAACCCATGTAGGGGTTTAGCCAAGGGTTTAGGACACACTCATAAACACACATAAACCGACCCAAGCGTTTCGCAAAGGGTTTAGAAAATGCTCATATACCCATGCAAGGGTTTCGGAAAGAGTGTATAAAACACACCCGCCCTTGTGACTCATTTTGAGGCACATCATTTCAACCTGTGTGGGGTGTGGGTGTGGGTGAGTGTGGGTGTGTGTGGATGTGGATGTGGGTGTTGATGTGATTCAATTTTTATTTTATACCCACACCCACTCTACACCCACAACCACACACCCCACACCCTGAATCTACGCTGTATTCTTCTATAGTATCAGTATCTGTTAGAAATGAATCGATATATACTTATTTATATCCGATTCACTTGCTATAATCTTTTAAAAATAATTGCGAGCAATGTCCAGAGAGTAATAATGACTGTATTAAATTTTTTTATAAGCCACAAATTTAAACTGACAATAAAGAAGATCGTTAAATTTCTTGTTTAGCTTGGTATTGTGTTAGAGAAAATAGTGAAGTCATTTCATGAGATTTAAAAACTACTGTTAATGGACAATCTACAATTACCTCCGTTTCAATTGAACATTATTTATACAGTATTATAGAAAAATCACAATGAAGATTGTTTAGTATGATTGCGTTTACCACTTTTTCTGGCAAATATTTCTTCCATAATAAATTTAAGTAATCAATATGCATTAAGTATTATTTTATTGTTAAATCTCATGTCAAACAAGAATACAACGAGTACTGAAGGGTGTAGGTGTGGGTGTAGGTCTTCTCGTCACATCTATATCCACCCACCCACCCACCAACACACTCACACTCACACCCCATACTCCACACCCACCCTAGAATTTCTAGACTATGAAATTTTCCATCTTTAACTATACCTTTGTATCCATATGCATCTTCTAATTTTAACCATATCCATGAGATTTATTAGATTTCCATGAATTCGAATAATATTCTTCGCCGTTATTAATACGATAGGTTCTTACTCCTTCGCGCAAAAGGTTTTCGCTTACAGTGCTATCATAAAATATATTGTCTATTGGTAAAAGATGCTGATAGAATTTATCTTCCTTTCTTCTTACGGCTGAAATATCAGGCAAACATGTTATATCAGATATATCACCTTCTTAATCATCACTAATACGTTCATCAGTATCTTTTTCTAATGGCTGAATAGACCTTATTTCTCGAATAGAAGATGTCTTTTATTTTAATTTATTTTCAGAATGTGGGTGTGGAGTGTAGGTGTCATATCCTCATCTACACCCTCACCAAGACCCACACCCACATCCCACCCACAACACAAATACTATGTAAAATTTGTGCATCAAAGTTGTTTATTAGATAGTTGATTTTTTGATTGTTTATAATCAAGGTTCAACGTCAATGTTATTATATTCTGCATAGGAAAGAAAAGATTCTCATTCACTAAGTTGGGGCTTCAGATAATGTACCATATTTTGACAGTAATCGTTTCAACTGACGTGACTGGTGGAATTCGTTTCCTAAGCTGTCGAACATTTCATGAGCAATACGAGTCCGTATGATAGGCTTCGTTTGCATCAAGACGCAAAACTGATCAGACGAGAATAGTTATCCAAATGCAACGATCTTATTCAATTCTTCACTCTCGCTGTCAAAATTTAAAGAATGGAGCATATAAAGGAACGAGCATTCTGTACGTTTGTATGTTTTTTGAATCATTATATCCATTTGACATATATCTCTTCGAGTTAAAATGTCATCGTTTACATCAAATAGTAAATCACGAAATAAATTATATACTCCATTCTTCAACATTGGATGCAAAAAAGAATGCACAAAAACTCAAATGCTGCATATCGAGATTAATTCTTTGAGAACAAACGAAGAAATGTCGGCCGAGGAACTATTGGTAAAATGGATTGTAACAAACTGAGATATGCTTGAAGAGCACATTCGTAATGAAGGTGACCAGTGCTGTATAATTGACAAAAAGACTTAGAAGAAAAATGATCCTCACATAATTTAGTAGCTCATTCTTTCGTAAGTTCACCAGTCATTGGACGACTAACATTTGAACTCCCTCCTTCACATCACGTGAATCAACATATGCTTTGGAATGCTTCTCATGTAATTCATTGTAGACAAATACTCAATTTTATTCACTGATAGTGTTCTTTTTCTCAATTTGTTGTATATGCATGTTAAGATAGAAAAGAAAAGTAAAGACAAATATTCTTATATAAATCTAACGTGTTTTGCTTTTCTATTCTGAGCTATTGACGAGTGGAAGTTTGTCCATGTTTTTATAAAGCCTTGCACAATCTTGTAACAATTATAATCAACATCAAAATTCAAGACTCAATGTTTTTCAAGAAGCTAGATGCGGATTTAATGTTTTCCAGCTAGAACATATGAAATATAACATTCACACATGTACATTTTTATTGATTCAAGAATTCGAATATGGATGTAGATGTCATAAAAGATTACTATCCACATCCTTACTTAATTAAAAACGATTGGCTTCCATTGAAATGTTTTAGAAAGTTTATTTCAAAAGATCAGAAATCAAATAAGTCATTCAAACGAAATCATATATCTGAAATACACCATTGAACTAGTCTTTCAATTAATCTTAATAGCCAATGAATATTTTCATTATTTTTATTTGATCCAAATAAATAAATCCACCATCGATATATTTTCATAACATTATGAGCTAAATAATGATTATTAACTGATGCATAATTTTATACTAAAACATTATCAATTATAATTGTATCTGATGGTGTTAATGGTGCATAATAAACTTCTTCTATTGTTAAATAAATATTTCGAATTTTACCTAATATAATTTCATTTTTATACACATATTTTACATGATCACCTGAATGCAATTGACTAGCAAATATAGCATTTTGTAATTCTGTATTATTTGCTAAGAATATTAAATGATTAGGTGATATAAATAAAGATCTTGTAATATTACTATGATCATCAATTTCTATATGTATTAATAAAAAACTATATGAACCATTTCGCTGTAAATGAATAAAACCTTCAATAGGTTCATAAATTAATTTATTTCCTTTATTAATAACCAGGACACGTTCCACAATTACTATATTTGATAAAGATTTCATTAAACCATTTTCAGTTATAACGGTACTTCGACTAGGAAAGCATGTTAGTTCACGTTGTTTAGTTATACAAGTATATTGAAGACAAACATTATCATTCGATGATATTGAAGTACAATCACATGTTGAATCGTATGGTAAATTTTAACTGTTAATACAAGTAAACGATAATAGTAATAAACACAAAATAGAAGTAGACAAAACAGGCATTTTTATGTGGAATGAAAATATGTAATCGATTGTTGAAGTATTTATGAATAAGAGTACTAAAGAAAACAAATCTGTCGACGAAGAAGAGTATTGTTTGATTCTATTGAATGGTGTGCCAAGAATAAGAGCACGACTTTTCTTCATTTCTATTGGTCTAATGATGTCAAGTCCTTCAGTCAATATGCGACAAGACATTCTGACCTCATGACCGATGATAGCTACCTACCTGTTCTGTCCTCTATTCATTCTTGTCTCCTTCTTCTCTCACAAATAGACTCATGTTTTGTGTGAAACGGACACAACTGAATTGATGTGAGCATATAATGAGCATCTATACTAATGGCGTATAAGACTTTTTTCGTAAAGCTCTCGACCCATTAGAAGACCGCATGTCTTCTATTACGTCCCTTTAAAAAGTCAAATTTTTTTGATAACCTCAACGAAAAGTCCTAATTTCAACACGTTTTCGTCCAATACACTGTTAGAAAACGGATTTATTTTACTTATCACGTGCTCATCAATGGAAAAGAAGCAAATAATATTTTAAAGCAAAAAAGAGAGAACAATCGTTGGTTAGAGGAAGTGCTCTTAAAACAGTATAGATAATATATCTTAAAATTGTTCAGCGATTTATAATAGGACTATTTTTTCTAAAGAATACGATCTATCACTGGTGATACTTATGTTCTATGTAACTACATTCTCGGACAGAAATATTTCTCCCTCTTTGCTTCTATTCTTTCAGAGTTTGCATTACATTTATTGTCATAAGTTTGATGCAAAATATGATAGCATAGAAACAAAGCAAAGAAAGACTTTAATTCGAGGGTATAAATAAACATGTAGAAAAAATTAACCACTTTTATGTAAAAGTTATTTCAGTTAGTTGCTTATGTTGAGGATTGGCTTGTATAAATAGAATTGGGTCAAGATTAGGAGTGATTCTTTTTTTTAATTATCCTTTATAATAAAGGGAAAAGATAAATGCATCCTTTACTTTTAAAAAATAAAGATAAATGAGCCCTTTAGTTTTGAAAATAAAGATAGAATAAAGAAATAAAGGGTACTTTTTTCGAGACATAATAATGTTGGAAGTGCTCCAGTATCAGAGAATTCATATTCAGAATGTTTTTCATTATAAAATAAATGCAACTGCAATGAATTCAACTTAGTTGGGACATGATTTAAATCAGCTTTTTTTTTAAGTTCAGCAGATTCTGATCATAAATGTGAATATTGAATCAAAGCAAATATCGTATTTTGAATTAACATTAAAAACGGAACTGATTTATGAATAGTTCGAAAATTTTTGAGATCTTTTTTTCTCATCGAAAAAAATTTTCGTTCTATCTCGGGGTGTGCGTATTTTTTTATCCACACCCTGTTCAGAGTGAATATCGTTCAAAAAATCCATTGTATAAAAGAGTATTTGTACTACCATAATTTATAGAATTTGAATAAAACAAAGATACTTTATTGAAAGTATCTAAATACTATAATCATTATATGCAAAAATATTTTGTTCTACGAAGATAGGTATAAAATCAATAATAGACGATTAAAGTCATCTCAAAACATGAAATCATTTAAAAAATCAGCTATAATTAATGTTCTTATACAATGAATACAATTTTCCAACGTGAACATTCAACACAGTCTTCATGTTCGTTCCTTTGTACGCAAATGACTTTTGTAGACATCACGAAGATTCTAGATAAGTATTCGGTACTTGGATTGTATTTCACATTTGAATCCGATGTTAATTACATTGAAAGCATTTTTTATATATGTTTATACGAAATATAAAAAAACATAGCATCGTGTCCTTCGATCCAAATGTCGGAATGGAACTAATGAGCTGTTTGGTAAAACAATGAGTGTTATGAGAAATATGAAAGTTAAGTACATTGGTGTTATTGAGAAAAAAAGCTTCACAAAACCGTTCAAATCGATTATTAAATGTTTGTCAAATAACCAATAAGAGAAAACTACTTTTATGCCAAAGACATGAAAAAATTTTGAACTACTTTCTGTTTGTCTCCACATTCACACTCATTGCTAATTTATGTCGATGGTCATTGTTCAAGAACTGACTAAGAGAACAATAAACGTCCGATGTTTGTATAACGATGCTGTGGAAAGATTATATATATATACAATGATACTTTTATGCACAACATTTTCTTCCACGAAACGAACAACAATATACAGATAGAAATGGATCAATTACCATGCGAGTTATTATATCACATTTTCTGGTACGTTGATCGATGGTTAGATCTTTTTCAAATATGTTGTGTCTGTAGCCGTTGGTGCTCTTTGATTATGAACAATGAGTGTTTTCTAAATCAATGGTTCTCTCGATCATTAAAACACTCACAACAAGCATCTCATGATATTTACCATAAGTATATCAACGAATCTAAACTAAAGTTGATGTTAAACATGGATCGATCATTATTTCCTATCAATCTTCGATCAAGTGAATGTTGGCTCCTACCTTTGACTGTACCAAATACCTTATCTAATAATGAAGATTCTCTTGTACATATTTACCCATTGTCATTCTATAAGTCATCTCATTCTTTCTCCTTCTGGTTCTTCTTACCTTACCAATGTCAATTAGCTATGCTAATTTCAAATATTAACGTCAACGGTCAAGTCATCTTTCTTAATGGTCATAAAAACTATTGTTTCGACGATGAGAACTGCGTATCAATCAATGATCGATGGATTCATATTGTTTTAACTAAGATTGATTCACAATCAAATTATCAAACATGGATTGATGGAAAATATGCTTCAAAATTCGATCAATATTATATATCCTTGATTAAGATGGAGCAATGCTCTGATTTATATAATTATGTAACACTCCGGAAGAGTTACAATAATTCATTAAGATCATCTAGCAAAGTCCGCATAGCTGATTTCAATGCTTTCAAACGATGTTTGACAAATCTCGAAATTCAAACTATTCATCAACAACAAACATCAATCAAACAAGTCAAAGTCGGTACCTATATTAACAGTAACAAAATACACAACATCAAAACCGATTAATCTTGCAAATTCAACTTCTCTTTATATAAACTCATTTTCTTCTTGTTTCTTGTGGTTCTGAAATTGTTTATTTGGTTATTTTATCTACTTTGAATGCTCATAAATAAATAGTTTAACTATATGACAGATTATATTCATTCAATGTCTATTTTATATCATTTTTATCAAAAATCTGATGTATTGGATTAAATTTCATTGAAGGGAAGTGCAAATTTCAAGAGTAGAAAAAAGCATCAAGAAAAATAAATGACAATGGCTTTCAAAGACAAATTCTGTTGATAATTTTGCATTAAAATATATGTTTAAAATAATGCTTCATCTGTCACATTCTTCTTGTGTACTATGAAATTGAATTTAATGTTCGAAGACAAAAAATGTTGAGTAAAGTAGATATAAAACTCATCATTGTCATTTCCTTCTTCATAATTTATACAACTTATTTGACTTTCTTCTTCTCTACTAAATTGAATCCATGTTATCAAACATTTAGCCATCTATAACTTTAAATTAGAGTATCAGTTAATTGACAAGCTCGAATAGCATGAACCCGATAATAAGAAATATATGAAAGTGCTTTAACGAAATAAAAGACAATGATAGGTGTTTCATTCATCCCATCTTTTTTTTCAGTAATTTACCCATTAGCTTGACGAGTATATTTTATAAAATGGATTTTATTTCTTCATTTCGATTCTTCTTTATCTCGAACTGATTTTGTCAATTTATAAAAATGTTCGTGCTTTGTTAAACATCCAACAAGAATCATATTACAAACGTGTAATCGACGAATATTAAATCGGACAGAAGTTTCTAACAATGTCTTCAATATCTCGACTCATTTTCTAGATGTTTATTCTATATTGATTGAATATCGAAACATGATACAATTTTGAAGACGATAGAAGAGATTTAAATAGATATTGAAAGACAAAAGATAAATAATTCAACTATCCTACTTTGTATTCTGATCACAAAAACCAAATGAAAGTAAACTAGAACTTATTCATCATGACAGAACGGATTTTAACAAACTTTAAATAATAATTAATGTGTGTAGGAGTAAAATTTCTATTGAAGAATAGTAATAACAAAGAAAAGTAGAAACTCCAGTGGCAGATTAATTATGATATTAATTTGATTTCGGATTTCAATGAATTGGAACATTTACATTGTCATCAAATCTTTTATCATCACAAATGATGGATATGAACTTAAGTTATTAAATGAAATAAAATTTATAAAAAAAAATAATATGAAATTTGACTGTTTGTCGTACATTACGCAATATTGTCAGATTTTTTTAGTTTTAAAATGTAATTTACTTCAATTCAGAACATCTATTTAGAACAAGTTTCAATTGATCGTCTTTAAAAAACATGTTCAATAATATTATATTTGTTGCTAATTATGTAAATATATTGAATGCTCAACATTCTTTCCATTAAATCAGCTAATGGCAAAAAGAGCTATATGATGTGTAATGTTGAAGATGACTGTTTGTGTATATCGAAGAATAATAAACAATATCAAGTTAAATCTATTTAATCCTAGTCGTTATCATTTGTTTCTTTTTAATTGGATCAATAGCATCAACGTCATCAGTACTAAATATTTCTGGACTATGAGGTTCAAATTATCTGATTTGTTGCCGAACTTGAATTAATACTTCTCTTAATACATAATATTTAATTTTATCGTCATAAAGACGGATCAATGTGGAAAAACATTTT